TCTTTCAAGGGAGAGACTAGTCAACAGCAAAAAAGAGGACGCAGATCACAATCAAGTTACAGAAAGCTGTGAGAAAGTGAAGGATGTTGGAAGCAACATCAAAGATGAGAAAGAGAGTGACATCTTCAATTCAAATAGCCGAGGCACCAGTAATACTTTAAACTGCTTCTATATGCGATTCAAGTCTAAAAGGAGAAAGACACTCTGATGAAATTCCTTTTTTAATTTTAGTGTTGTTTGTTTTATTTATTAATGTAAATACAGCTTAAATTAAGCCATTTGTCAAAGCGTAGACAACTTAGTTAAAATATAATTTATAAGAATTTTATGATTGGTATTAATGTCCTCTAGCAACAAAGTCATGTTGATTTAAAGTGCCTTATTTGTACATATGTTATTTTACTAATGTATTGCACTAGTAAAGTTTATATTTGTTGTTTTTTGTAGTTGGCTTTATTTCCTACTGATAGCAGCTGAGTCTGAGAAATGGAGGTTTTTTAGGAACCAGTGTTCAGTTTCACCATAAAATTCACAGTAATATAATCTGACCAAAACCCCTGCCTGAGAACTTCATTGTTATTTAGTACTTCCTCTATGTTACAAGCTAAAGGAAGAAGTACCTCTTGGGAGGCAAGAAACTGCATCTTGTTCACATACACCGAAAAAACTTTAGTTATTTATGATAGAGTGTGCACATGTACATAATGTGAGAGAGTGATGAGCACCCTCCGTAGGGTCTGGTCATGCCACAATACCCTTCCTCCAGTCTTCCAACCCATCAGATCATGAGCACTCATACATGTGTGCCTCGCAGACTGACCAGGCCAGGGATTCAAATTGCAGTTGTCATGAGGGATCCTGTTTCTCTTGAGCAATGCAATGCCATTGCACCATAGAGGTGGCCGACATATGCTTTCTCTTTTTAATTTACCGGAGAGTACATGCACTCACCAGGGAGGAAAACAGAGAGAGAAAGGCAGAGAGAACCCCCCAGTGGGGTGCAATCGCTCTGCACTCCCTTCTCCACTCTTGTCAAAATTCAGGGCATGCATGCACACACATCAGGCCTGTTTTCAGGCTGCCAGGGCCCAGATTTGAACTGTGTGGTTGGCCATGTAGGATCTGACTGTTTTAATCATCAAGCCATGGAGCTGGCCCAGCATATACTTTTCATATCATTCACTCTTTACACATCCCTTACCGAGGGGAAGGGATGAGTCTAAGTATCATCTGGGAAACTTTTTTAAACATGCAACTACTGTGTCTTGCTCCAATCCTCATAAATTTGAATTGCCAGATAACAAGTCTGGGAATGGATATTTTAGTAAGTTTTCCAGGAGAGTCTTAGAATTGGTAATATTTGAGAATACTGACCTTACAGATATAAGGATGAAATTAGTTTTAAAATAGTAAAGCAAGTCTGTCCCATAGGATGAAGCAATGATTTTCTTTTGATGGAGGTGATTTGATTTTTTTCAGCACATTTATTTTCTTGGTCCTCTTGGAAATTGACTAATCAATTCATGGACACTGACAAATAGCAGTGATTCCAGGTTCAGAGATATGTGATAGAAGTCAAGAGACTGACTTGTCTTGACTTACTCTGTTCTTGGCACTATAAGCCAAGTGTAAATCACACATTTTCTGGGTCCAAATTTTCTTTTGGAAATAGTTAATAGGACTACTTAATAAGGTTATTGAGCAACACTTTTTAAAAGATATTTATTTATTTCCATTTGTTACTATTTTTTCATTTGACCAGAGAGAGAGAAGGGAGAAGTGAGAAAGCAAGCCTCCTGGTTTGGGACTCAGACCACAGCCGGCCACATGGAAGTTTAGCACCTTAAACACCATGCCACCTACCGGCCCTGAGCAACTTATTTTTAATGATTCAAGTTACATACGAATAAACTTCAAGATCCCTAAAGCAGGGTCAGACACTGGAGCTTAGTTTGTTGTCTTACTCTTTATCATGAAGAAGCCAACGCCCTAAAAATTCCAGTAGCATTTCCAAAGTTATAGTTTGTCCTAATGGGAATTCTAGTAATCGGCCCAATGGATTTGTACCTATTTAACCTCAGTTTCTTCTGCAAGCAAGAAAATGTTCTTGCTTCTTTGAGACCTATCCTTTGCTGGAATTACTTAGGTTATTTTCTTTTATTTGTAAATAAAAGTTAGGCATTTTTTTCCTTTTAATTATCATAATAGACTGCAACTTAACCAGCATACTGCAGATTTGGTTTTGGATCCTTCTATATCACTCTATCTCCACCCCTTGATTCCAAGACTATAGGAGAAAATTTCTGTAATTGTCTGTTGTGCAGTAATTCGGGGAACAACTTATTTAATTTTTGGAATTATTTCTTTAACTTTATTCATTTTTAATAGAATTATTTTATTAAACTTTATTTATTTATTTTAATTTGACCAGAGAGGGACAGAGCAAGAGAGAGAGAAATCAAGCCACCAGGTCCAGGACTCAAACTGCAGTTGGCCATGTAAGAGTCCAGCAGCACCCTTAGCCACCATGCCACCTGCCAGCCCCTCATTCATTTATTTTTTAATTTGACAGAGAGAGAGAGAAAGCAAGCCACCAGGTACGGCACTTGAACTGGTCAGCCATGTGGGAGTGTCCAGCACCTTCACCACCGTGCCACCTGCTGGTCCCCTCAGAGAGCAGTTTAAAACCTGTGTATATTGTTTTCTTCATAACACAGTCTTCTTAAGTCTTATCATTCAACTCTTTGATGTAATATTCTTTTTTAAGAATTCTTTTATTTCGTTTTAATTACTTATTTAATTTTAGTTTGACCAGTGAGGGGGACAGAGTGAGAGAGAGAGGAGGGAAACAAGAAAACAAGCCACCAGGTCCAGGACTTGAACCTCAGTCAGCCATGTGGGAGTCTAGCTCTCTTAACCACACCACCTGCTGGCCCTGTCAACTCTTTGATGTAATATTCTGCAAAATTGGTAAAGAAAAAGAAAACTAGGTGTAAAATTAAGTACAAATCAGAAACAACTTATTTAAAAATATTAAAACAGTGATTCAACTCGGGGCAAGACTTCTTAGATGGCATAAGCAGAATCCTAGAGGGTAAGTATATACACTCTGGAAAAGCAAAACTGCAGTTCTTTTCCTTGAGCCTTTGCTCTCATTCCCACTCCTACTGCAAAGTAGTGTTTGGATTTAGACAAGACCATCAGATACTTATGTTAATCAAAGGAACGGGAGATGGGGACAGGTACCCTTTCAGACTAGTTTTCTCAGTAATACTAGATTCCTAACTTACTTTAAAAAAAAAATTAGTTGGATTGATGTGCATAGTAGGTGAATTAATATGTGGGGGAATATGTGGAGGAGATTGGCTCCATTACTTCTACATAGCTAAAAACTGAGATTACTATTTTATCTTTTTTTTTAACTATGTTTTTCTTTATCCTTTCCCTAAATGCCCTACCGTGCATTCCATTGTTTTATAGTTTGATCAGTGTTCTTTTCTCATTCAGGTTATACACTTACACCATCAGCTAAATCTGACAACTTGTCTGACTCCAGCCATAGCGAGATTTCCTCACGGTCAAGCATCGTAAGCAATTGTTCTGTCGACTCCATGTCTGCAGCTCTGCAGGATGAACGGTGTTCCTCTCAGGCTCTGGCAGTTCCTGAATCCAGTGGGGCACTGGAAAAGACAGAGCGCCCCTCAGGAATAGGAGACCATAGTCAGCTTGGGCCTGGGTAAAAATTCTTACTTGTTTACGTATCACACAACCTATGCCTCAGTGCCATTGCAAGCAGTGCTCCGCATCTTGACCATGGGTCCCCTGGGCAGTCGTAAAGGGATCCATGAATGCAAAGGGATCCATGAATGCGAGAGCCTAGAATAGTGGTTACCAGAGGCTGGGGGGATAGGGGGGATCGGTACAAAAACATAGTTAGAAATAATTAAGTTCTACTGTTCTTGTAGCACAATAGGGTAATGATGGTTAACAATAATGTATTATATATTTCAAAACAGCTAGGAGAGAGGATTTTGAATGTTTCTAACACAAAGCAATGATAAATGTTTGAGGTGATGGTATGCTAATTACCCTGATTTAACCATTACACATCATAAACATATGTATCGCTATATCACACTGCAACCCATAAATATGTACAAATATTATGTGTCAAAGAAATAAAAGGTAATTCTTGACATTTTTTTAATTAAAAAATATGAGGGTCAAGTATTTATTCTCTATACTGAATATGCTAATAAGTACTATTTTGGGGGCCAGTAGGTGGCATGGTGGTTAAGGACACTGGACTCCCACATGACCGACCGTGGTTTGAGTCCCAGACCTGGTGGCTTGCTTTCTCACTTTCTCTTTCTCTCTCTCTGTCTCTGTCTGGTCACATTAAAAAATCATAACAAATTAAATAAATAAATAACTCTTTAAATAAATGAAATGTAAAACCCATCCTTTGCTTCAGACACACAAAAAAAGTCTGTTGACTTATTTTGGCTCATGAGTCTTAGTTTGGGATAGCCTTCCAGTAAGTGATAGGATTCATTTAGTAGGTAGTTAGAAAGATAGTTGTTTTCTTAGCACCGTATTAAGCTAACTACAGAAGTACATTGAAAGATTGGGGCTGGCAGGTGGCTTGGCGTTTAAAGGTGCTGGACTCCCACATGCCAACCAAGGTTCAAGTCCTGAACCTGGCAGCTTGCTTTCTTACTTTCTCTCTCTCTCTCTCTCACTCTCACTTTCTCACTGTCCCTCTCTGGTCAAATTAAAAATAAACAAATAAAGTTAAATAAAATAATTCTTTAAGAATGAAAATGTTTCCTCAAGTTGAGAATTTGTTTTATAAGCTTTTTTATTTTTTTATTTATTTTTCTAAATAATTATTTATTTTATTTATTCATTTATTTTTTAAAATCTGACCAGAGAGAGACAGAGGTTGAGAGTGAGAGAAAGAGGAAGTAAGAAAGCAAGCCACCAGATTCAGGACTTGAACCCTGGTCGGCCATGTGGGAGTGTCCAGCACATTAACCACCATGCCACCTGCTGGTCCCAAGCTTTTTTATTTTTTGCATGAGGAGGAGGAGCAGCACCCCTGACAGGGTTTTAATGCCGTGATTCACCCATAGCTTCGGCAAGACTTGGGTCACAGGCATGTGTGTGTCCAGTATAGTCAGAGAGGTCTCTGGGTGTGAACTCAAATCCTTTCCATGTGGTTCAGCCTTGCAGAGCATAATTACAGCTGCACCACTGTCTGGGCCCAAGTTTGGAGTTCTTAATTCTATATGCATAGAGAACATCTGGTATTACGGACCAAGAATGAAAACGTGTTCTTAATTTTGTTTCAAACTTCATCTTTGCATTTTCATTTAAAATCAAGAAAATTTCAGAGGAAATCTTGTTAAGCATTTGAGCTTCTTTAGTGTTTTGTTTCTAGTGAGTAATAAAATTAATGCCAATAAGGAGTTTAGTGATGTTTGATTATAGTTTTGTTGTTTTTTTTTTTTACTGGATTATTCTAGCATGAACACTTAATGTATATTCTGTAGTTTCTTGTAGGCAGTAATACTTGCAGTGGAGATGAAGTTTTTACAGTAAGCCAATAAATTACTTTAAATTGTGCATTATCTCCAATTTTAGGTGGACACTCTCAAAGCCATCTCTACTCAAGGGTTTAGTTGTCTCATCTTCTATGAGCAGTGAAGAGATATCTCATGAACATATCCTTATAGAAGCAGCTGACAGTGGTCGTGGAAGTTGGACTTCCTGTTCAAGCAGCTCCCATGACAATTTCCAAAGCCTTCCAAACCCAAAAAGCTGGGATATTTTGAACTCTTATAAACATACCCATTTGGAGGACCCCATTGCTGAGGTTGAACCCACTGACTGTGAGCCCTATTCCTGCCCTAAAGGCTGTTCTAGAACTTGCGGTCAGTGTAAAGGAAGCCGAGAGCCCAATCAGTTGCGGCAGAGCTGGACATCCTCCAGCTCCCTATCTGACACATACGAACCAAACTACGGGACAGTTAAACGGAGAGTGTTGGAGAGCACCCCAGCCGAATCATCTGAAGTCTTGGAGCCCAAGAATGCCACAGACCCAGCTTATAAAACTGTCACTTCAAGTACAGAAAAGGGCTTGATTGGTAAGTTGTGTACTTTTTGTAGTTTTGACATTTAGAGATAAGTGGCAAAAATGGCACTGACATGTCTTAGTTCAGGATTTTATTCTTACAAAAATCATTTTCTCACTCCAACCTTTTTTCCACCCTCCACAAGCAAATTTCCCCAAAACTTATGGCTTCTCAAGGGCTTCTGAAGAGATATTCATTAAAATGAAAATCCTGGTGTGAGGTATTTAATTAGACAAGTATGTCGTGTTTTAAGATTTTTCTGTTTTTGTTGAGGAATATCCCATTACATAGTAGTAATAAAAGAATTAGTTATTCTCTTTGTCACTTTATAAGTTCTTTGGATCACAGTTGCAATGAATATGTGGTAGAAACATTGACTCTGCTATTACTTGTATATAGTAAAAATGAGAGACTATATAAAAAAAGTCCAAAACATTTTCAGTGTACCCTTCTGGTGTATGTCATGAATATGCCAACTTCTTTTATTTTTAAGAGGTTTTTGCTATTAGGGTGCATGTGTTCTTCAGAAAGAGAGGGACAGAGAGCTTCTTTTTTTTTTTTGAGTTTTTATGAATATGCCAAGTTCTATGTATAGATTCCATTCTAAGCTTTCTTAGAGCATTCTTTTTAGTATTTAGCCATAACATACTTGAAAATGTTCTTCTCTGATTTATAAAAGTAATTGAATATATAATAGCCACTGCTTTTCTACTTATGTGGAGTGACTGAACTTTGAGTCCATACTATCATCAACTCAGTTCTGTAAAATATTCATGAGGTCACATTTAATGACTAAAAATGCGAATGGCAAATGTGCTCATTTTCCAGTTACTTGGGGGGTTTTTTGTTGTTGTTTTCAATCGCCAGAGGATACAGGTGCTTGCCAGCAGGGGGAAGGAGTACACACACTCCAAAGGGGCATGGTCACACCACAATCCCTTTTCCATCCTCTTGAGATTTTTGGGTATGCAGGCATATGTGCCCAGCATGTGTTTCAAGCCACTGAGGCTGGGATCCAGCTCCCTTAACCACTATAGGCGACGGGCCAGCCAAGTTACTTGTTAAGTTGCATTTATACGTCACATTTTTGTCTGTCTGTGTGTGTGTGTGTGTGTGTATGTGTTAGGGTGTGTGCACTTGCCAGAAAGAGAGAGACTGAGAGGGGAAGTGAGAAATCACCTCCCCGGGGGATGACCACACCGCAATCCCTTCTCCTCCATTCTCCTCCTGAGATCTTGGACACGCATGCACACACATGCCTCCAGTATGAGTTTCAAGCCACTTGGTCTGGGACTCAAACAACGATCAACCATGTGGGAGTCCAACGACTTAACCACTACGCCATCTGCTGGCCCCTGTACATTAGATTTTTAGCTCATTCCTCGTTTTCCAAGGATTTTTTTATTTGATGACTGCTACAAGGATATATAAGCATATGTGTAATGTACAAGATATAAAAATCTTTCTCTTGGGCTAGTAGGTTTCATAGAGGTTGGGACAGCTGGATCCTACATAGCCAACTGCACAGTTCAAGTCATGGATCTGGGGGCTTAAATATCATGCTGGGCACTTGTGCACATGCACCCAAAATCCCAAGAGGAGAAGGGATTGCTACATAGCCATCCCCACAGGGAGTAATTTATCACTCTCTCTTTTTTTCATCTCTCTCTCTCTCAAGCAAATAAATGTGTTCTATAGCAAAAACACCTTTCTCTTGTCCATATGGGAATATCAATTTAAAATCTTTTTTTTTTTTTAAGAGATTTTTGCTGTAGGGGGTGTGTGTGCTCACCAGAGAGACAGAAAGTGAGCAATCACTCCCCAGGATGGATGGCCACACCATAATCCCTTCTCCATTCACCCCCTGTGTGAATGGGCATACACACATGCGCACCTGATGTGAGGTTTGAGCCACCAGGTCCAAGACTCAAACCATGGTTAACTATATGGGGGTCCAGCACCATAAGCACTATGCCATCAGTTGATCTCACAGTTTGTAAATCTTTGATTTCTGGGTGACTCTGGACAAATCACTTACTCTTTTTTTTTTACTTTTCTTGACATCCTCTCTACCCCAACCACGCAACCCTAAATAAGCTCAAATGAGAATGGAAACTCTTTCTGGCCTTGATACTACATGCAATCTTAGTGGTAGGATCACAGAAATTTCAATGTATAGAACAAGCCTAGTCTTCTAATAGAAGAGTTAATATTAGAATTATGTATGGACAACCTCAGAGCCTAGTGGTCAAACCGAATCCCATAAAGCTGACCACAGTTTGAATCTCAGCCACAGTGGCTTGAAAAACATACTGGGCAAAGTGTGTCTCCATGCCCATAATTCCAGCAGGACGGAGAAGTGGAGAAGGGATTGCAGCATGAAGACATCCCATTGGAGGGTGCTTTCTCCCTCCCTCCCTTTCTCTCTCTCTCTGTCTCTGCCTAGTGAGTGCACATATCCTCTGGCAATTAAATAAAAAAGAATTATGTTGTTATTTTTAATGTGTTCTGCTTGTGTCTAATCAGTTTTTGAGTTTGGAAAGTCTCTTGCATGATCAAGGTCTTCAAAGCCATTTGTCTTGTGGATTCTGTGGATCTTATTTTGTGGAATTTCTTCTTCAACCTATTTCTGATGTTTTGGAAGCATTGCCTTAGTTCAGGACTCACAAACTAAGGGAAACAGATTTTTAAGTCCCATTTTCTGTGAAAATCAGAGACATTGATTTGTTTGTTTTTAAATATTTAACTTTATGTGTTGTTATTTTTTAATTTGACAAGAGAAAGAGAGAAAGAGGGGAAGAAAGTGAGAGAGCAAGCCACCAGGTCTGAGACTTGAACCATGGTTGGCCATGTGAGAATCCAGTACCTCGACCACCATGCCACCTGGCGACCCCTCAGAGAAATTTATTTTAAGATGAATTTCCTAAAATTATGTTTTTTTCTTTACCTCTTAATCAAAAACTAAAGTTAGAAAAAATTCTTGAAGAAATTATTTCCTCTATATCAGGAACATTAAAGTTGTTCATGCCAGGACTGAGCTAGTATACTCATGAGCGCCAGAAAACACCAGTTCATGTCTAGGGAAAGAGTGAAGTAGCCCTTAAGTAGATGACCCAAACAAATGGGGGAATTTCTAATTTGTCCTCAGTCATCATAGGGCTGATGTTACTTCAGCAGTTTGTCGTATACTTGTAATGTGAGGGCTGAACTGCAGAAGGGAGCTTATCTTTAGTGTTTATTCCTTCAGCTCCCTCTCATTCATTTAATGTTTATAAACCTTAATGAAGTGGGGCCAGCAGGTAGCATGCTGGTAAAGGTACTGGACTCCCACATGGTCGATCACAGTTTGAGTCCCACACCTGGTGAAGTGCTTTCTTTCTCTCCCTACCCCAGCCCCCACTCCTTGCTGATGAGTGCACATGCTATTTAAAAATAATAATGATAAATAAAAATCAAATAATTCTTTAAAACTTAATGAAATTGTTTATGTATTTTAAAACAGGTTTAGTATTAAGTTTATCAAGCTTTTTAAAAACATTTTTAATCCGTCATTCAGATTTATTCATTTTGTCTGTTTTTAAGTTCTGTTTTTGTCATTGTAATAAGTTTGTGTGTTTTCTTATTTATTTATTTAATTTTTCATTAACATTTCCATTGCTTATTTTTCATGCCAGTGTACTGTGTCACCTCACCCAAGAAGGACGATAGGTATAGGGAGCCACCTCCTACTCCTCCAGGATATATGGGGATTTCTTTAGCAGACCTAAAGGAAGGACCCCACCCGCACCTAAAACCTCCAGATTATAGTGTGGCAGTGCAGAGGTCAAAGATGATGCCTAACAGCCTGTCTAGACTGCCACCAGCTTCTCTCAGTAGCAACCCTGTGGCCCGTGTTCCATCGAAGACTGTAACTCAGCCTCAGAGGCACAATTTGCAGCCATCCCATCCTAAACTAGCAGATGTGCCTGACGCAGATAGCGAAGCAGATGGTATGTTGACACACTACCTTAATGGCTCTTAAATGAATTGCTGAACATACTAAATGGTCTTTATTTGGTGTTTTATGGTAATAATGTTTTCTTTAAATGCCTTAGAATCTCTGTTAAAAATTAAGCAATCCTTAAATCTGATGGTGTTGTTTTTTTTTTTTTTTTCTTTTAATGGAAAGAACAATCTGCTTATTTCTGTGTGCTCAGTATTCTTCTTCTGGCTCAGATGGTGTATTCTTGTCTGTACAGAACAGCAGCTCAGTCTAATAGGATAATTTTGAGAGGAGCCACTTGACATTGATGGCATTGTACATTAATTCATGGGCACTTGAAGCTGCATTTCAAATGCTGAAATAATACTGTTGCTGTAATTCCTCTTATTAGCAAAACTCTTAACCTTGTAGCTATGACAATAGTTACTGTGTGCTTGGGAAGGTCATGCATGTTTTTGCATAGAAAAATACATCATTACTTTCCCAACAATCAAGTCTTTTGCTTTATTAAAAATTAATGGAGTTTTATCCTTTTAGACAATAGAATAATAAAGTGATTAAAAGCCAGTTATTTATGAAATTCCTATTTATCTTGTCAGACTTTGGTGTGATAAGAAATTAGAAGTGTTATTAAATAAAATCTTTGCCTTGATGGGACATTCAAGGGAATTTACTTGTTAAAAATGCTTAATTTTAATTTTCTAAATAGATTACTAGATTATTGATCTTCATTTACATACTGATCTGTCAGTTAATGATGGGGTTTTTTGTTTTGTTTTGTTTTGTTTTGTTTTTTCAGAAAACGAACAGGTTTCAGCAGTCTAGCCTTTGGGTGACCCATGTGAAAACCGCTGAAAATCATGGAGGGGTGGGCAGAGCCACCTCATGATTCCCAGGCCATTGCCAGCAAACACCTTGATGCTACTGCTAACCCAAAGGTTCTAGCTCCTGTGTTCTGCGCAGTGCGCTACACCTGAGTCGGCCCTTTCACGTAACCCCTGCAGATGCGTAGTCTCCCCAGCTGTGGATGTTGTGCCTGGAGACCAGTCTCTACTTTGCACGCCAGACCTGCCTTGGGACCACAGTTCCAGAACAGATTCAAACTGAGTCATCCCCATGTATATCACTATAGATTTTCATTTAGCAAATTATTTTAAAGAAGCAGCGTTCTTATTTCCAAGCCATAGCTTGGGCTGAAGGACAAATTAAAAATGTCTGCTGATACCTAGTATGTTGTTATGTATTTGAAAATAATTTATTGTTTGAAGTGTTGTGGTTTTGTTTGTATTTGGGAACTCTTACTAGCTGATGTTTATATTTGAGGTCATAAAACTGTCTCTAGTCTGACCAAATGAAAGTCATCTTTACAGAGATGATATGCTTGATCTTTACAGAGATGAAGCTTGATCTGTAGCGTCAATGCAGTGGACGGTCTCCTGAGCGGAATACGAAACCTGCGGTGGAGGTGTTAGGAAGCCGCTGGCCATGGTGTGAAAGGCCAAAGGAGGCTGGATTTCTTGTCAGTCTTTAGAGAGAAGGGAGGAGGGGTTAGGATGGGGTGGGTAGAACCCTGATTTCCAAAACATGAAATTTGATGTTAAATGACATGTATATACACATTTTCTTCTGAAGTGAAAGTCATGCTGCATCTAATTATAACTAAAATATTAATCTAATAAATAATGGGTTTTAGCAAGTTCTTCTTTATAGAAGTCCAAAACTAAAATTTCTCACAAGTAGTATAAAGGTCTTTTTTAAAAAGAAGTATAACCATTTTTTTAAAAGAAATATAACCAATTACAATTGGGGTTGTAATCATGAAGGTGAATTTGACATTATGCAGTGTTCTGCAACATACCACTCACACATCTTAGAGCACCAAGTTGTCTCCAGTTTTGATAAACTCTGCAGCTCTTAGTTACCTAGAGTAAAAGGTCTACCAAAGTATTTAATTGGCTGAATTTTTTGTAGGAAAAGAGGAGATAGAATTACAAAAATTATTATCTCTTCATTCTCAGTTTAGCCCTTGAGAAGGACATACCTTCCCCACCTCTTTAACTTGGCACACTTAATTTAAGTATTTAATTAAAATTTCAGTGACTGTTTACTGAATGGGGTAGATTTTTCACATTTTTACAAATTAAATATATTATTTTCTATGTATTAAGTTTAATTTCTTTTAGTGTGAAGACAAGTGAGATTTTAATAAACTTTAAATACCAAAAAAAAAACAAAAAAACAAAAAAAAAAACAAGCCAAAGCCTTTTATGTGCACTACGCAGATCAACTTGGAGCCAAAATGGGTTTACTTCTGAATAGTTGTTCAAATGTAACCATGTGTGATTTTAATTGGTTTGTGACTTCCACTTTAGGAGTTTTCTTTCTCTAGCTGTCTCACCCCCGTGTCTTTCTACCTATGTTTGTTTTGAAATCACATCAGTTCCAAGTGGGAAATGGTAGTGGTTCATCTTTTCCATCAAAATGATTGTGTCTTCATTTTAGGAAAAATAATGTTTCTGAGAAATTCTCTTGGGTTAAAAAAAAAAAAAAAAAAAAAAAACATTAATCCGAAAGTTAAGCCTTAGACATTAAACCCAGGTTTGTTAGTGGCTTCATAGCTTTCTTTGGCTCTTTTAAATAGAGAGTAGTCTGAATCGAAAATCCTGATTTGAAAGTCACATTCTAGTGACTGGGCCTATAGACAGTGTCTGGTGATATAATTAAACAGTGGTTGTCTGATTATCATTTTTTTCCTTCACTGATTTACACAATGTTGTGTTCATGTCCACAGCAAAACAAAGAAAGTGAAAGATATTTTTGCTATACCCACCTTTTTATCATATTTGGGTATCTATCATCACCATTTTATATCCATTACTCTAGAAAAAAAAAAAAAGATGTCCTGTTTGCACAGTATCTGTTTCTTTAGCAGGTTTTTCAAACCAAATGGAAGCCTTACCTGTCTTTGTCCTTAAAGGTGTGAATAATACCGTGCACAGAGTTGAGGCCTGTGGTTTTTAGACTTGCACCTTGTAGCTGCCTTTGTTTTATCTACCTGTAACTGTGAGTGTTTGGTTCAGCCGATCACATTGATCAGAAACTAAGGCCAAATGCTTTGTAGTCTGATATATATGTATCCTTGAAAAAAATTGTGAGGTTCTGATTTTTATATTTTAATTCACTATACATTTCTGCCTTCTCTTAGTTGGTCATGTGACTAGAGACAAGAGAAGCCTTAACCTGTATTTGCTCAGTTCCAAATTCCCATTTGTTTTTGTTTTTATTTTATAAATTTTTAACTTTAATGAAAAAAACTAGTGTTCTCTCTTCCCACCTCAACCTTGAGTCTGCCAACACTATCGAAGCAGTCAGCCCTCAGTGCAAACTTTTGCCAAATAGTTTCAGCAAAATTTCTTCCTACTGAAAGATTTAGAGAATCAGGATATTCAATATATGCTTCATAAAAGCTTATGATGATTGATAGGTTCTCCTTTCCTCCAAATGATTACTCTCAGTATGCTGTGTAGAGTGGAAAAGCCTTTAGTGGGTTTTCATGGGGATGGTAAGTCACATCATTGTCTACATCTTTTCCTTGAGAATCTCTCCCAGGCTGGAAATGTGGCAGTACAGTAATCATGGGAGCTCCTAAGAACAAACCTAATTTGAATGTTCTTTCTCCTACAAAAAGGGGAGAGGAGAGAAAAGGTTTCCTTATATATTTAAAATTGTGATTGTTATTCTGATACAATTTTAAGTTTCTTTAAAATGTGATGTTAAAGTTTATGTATACTTTTAGCATTACCTAAGAGGCTAGAAAAAAGGGATAAATCTTCAGAAAAACATCAGTACATTTTCAAATTTAAACTTGAACCCCAGTTCATCTTTAGCTTTTGTTGTGCGTTTTAAAAGCTTTTTTATTTTTGATACACAGAATGCAGTCAAACTTGATCTTTTAAAATGAAAACATGTAAGCTTATCAGCAAAAGAAAAACACAAAACTGCACAGTTGTAATAATCAAATAGCAATTATACTGCACAATTCAGTGATTGTAAGGTATCCTGTAACAAGCAATGTTTGTCTCCTATTTTTTGATACCTCTTAAACTTATGTCTTTTAGAAAGACAGTGCCTCTGTATGCTTTTTGTATTTTTACCAAGTGTAAATATTTGTTATATTTTTGGTTAAGAGAATGTAAAAGTACCATTTATTATTATCATATCTACTAATACATTGGTGGACTCAATAAAGAATCTACATTAACCTTCTGTGCACTTCATGGTGAATGTAGGGAACAGAGGGAATTATTGTACTCAGCCATTCAGGAGTGCTAGAATGGGACCTATGATGGTGTGAAGGCCTTATTTTTTTTTAATTATTTATATTAATTCCATTTGTTATTACTATTTATTATTTTGACCAGACAGAGACAGAGAAAGGGAAAGCGAGAGATCAAGCCACCAAGTCCGGGACACGAACCATGGTCAGTCATGTGGGAATCCACCGCCTTTAACCACCACGCCGTCTGCCAGCCCCCTGAAGGCTTTATTTTTTAAATAACGAGAAATTTGGAGTAGTGTGATTATTCTTCACTGTACAGAATCTCTAAACCACCAAGCTGTTGTTGGGATTTTAAAAAGTTGTATTTACAAACCAAATAACAGTGGCTTAAACACTACTGGGACTTGTTTTTCTCTTACTACAGAAATTCCACAGGCACACTGTCCAGATAAAATGTCCTGACGTTTATACCTCAGATATCACCTCAGTATTTCAGGAAAGAAGGAAGAAGGAAGCATTTAGAGGAAAAGGTGCCAATGTGTGTCCCTGTTTATTAGCAGAACCAGTGACTTTCTCAGAAGCTCTAAGTGCACATTTCTTCTTGCATCCCATTCGTCAGAGCTGTGCTGCATGACCTGTAGCTGCAGGTGAACACCGAGAAATGGCTCCCATAAGAGATAGGGAGCCCTTTCTTTTATGAGATCAGATCCCAGGTTCCTGGCAAAGGAAGGAATTCTGTTTTAGCACCACTGTGTAAAATTTCCTCCCTGTATTCCCTCTGTACCTAGAAAACGTTATTCCTTTGAATAGCTAAGGCCTTTTTAAGCTTCTAGTTCATTCACCCTCTTTTAACACACATACTGGGTCATCTCAGGCCGTTCCATCTCTCCACAGCCTCGGTAGTTCATTCCTTTATTTCAAAAGTATTAAATGCACATGTAGTAGGTTGATAGTGGCTATCCCAAAACCCTCACCACTGGGACTTGTAAATGTTACTTTATTTGGGGAATGGGTCTTTGCAGATGTACTAGCATCTTGGGTTTTCTGGGTAGGACCTAAATGGCATCATAAGTGTCCTTACAAGAAAGGCAAAAGAAGATGGATCACAGACAGAGGAGAGAGCAGTGTGAAGGCAGCAGCAATAGATTGAATGCTGGCAGCTCCCAGAACTGAGAGATGAGGGAGGGATCCTCTCCCGAGCCTCCAGAGGAAGTACTGCCCTGCTGACACCTTCATTTTGGACTTCTGGCTTTCAGAACTGTAAGATAATACATTTGTGTTGTCTTAAGCCATCCAATTTGTGGTCATTTGTTACAGCCACTCTAGGAAACTAGTTTCTGTGTGTCCGATGTTAGGAACCCAGCCCTTGTGTTTAAGGGATATGGCAGAACTTCATTTTACCCGAAGAGCCCTCCTGTAAATCACCCGCCCTTGAAGCACTGGATACGAAGTGCTGAAAGAGGAACTGGTTATCCCAGAGGCCTCCCTTTCAGCAGCCCAGTCAGCTTATTTTTTTCTCATGTCATATTCTGATGAATGTGTACTTGTTAACTATTCTTAAATGACTAATAATGCAAAGTATATTTTCATATACTTATTGGCCATTTGAATGCTCTCTTTTGTGGGGCCAGCAGGTGGCTTGGTGGTTAAGAGTGCTGGACTCCCACGTGGCCAACTACAGTTCAAGTCCTGGACCTGGCAGCTTGCTTTCTCACTTTCCCTCTCACTCTGTCTTTCACTCTGTCCCTCTCTGGTCAAATTAAAGAAGGGGGGAGGGGATAGAGAAAGTTAAATAATTCTTTAAAAAAAAAAAAAGCTCTGTTTTGTGAAATACCTATTTAGGGGCCAGCAGATGGCATGGAGGTTAAAGCACTGGATTCTGCATGGCCAACTGTGCGGTTCAAGTCCTGGACCTGACAGCTTGAAAAGAACACCAGGTGCATGTTTGCCCAAATCACATAAAGAGACTGGAGAAGGGACTGTAGCATGGCCATCCCCTCTGGGGGGTGATTTCTCACTTTCCTCCCTCTCCCTCTCTCTCTCTCTCTCTCTCTCTCTCTCTCTCTCTCTCTGGCAAGTGCACATGCCTTATAGCAAAATAATAGTAATAAATCATTTAAAACCTAAAAATATGCCTTTTCAAAATAGTTTTATTTGTTGCTAAAATACTGAAATAATTTTCGTAATGACCTCATGTCTAACAACCTTGTTCGATTCACTTTTTTTTTTCTTAATAATTATTTATGGGACCAGCAGGTGGCATGGTGGTTAAGGCGCTGGACATTACCACATGGCTGACCGTGGTTTGAGTCCCGGACCTGGCTGCTTGCTTTCTTTCCCTCTCTCGCTCTATGTGTCTCTCTGGTCAAATTAAGATGAATGAATGAGTACTAAATAAAGAATTATTTTAGAAGTTATTTATTGGGAATAGCAAGTGGTATAGTGGTTAAGGGCACTGGCTTACCGTGATTTGAGTCCCAGAACTGGTGGCTTGCTTTTTCACATTCCCTCTCTCTTGCTCTCACTTGCTCTGTCCCTCTCTGGTCAAATTAAAAATAAATTATTTTTTAAAAGAATTATTTAATTTCATTTTTTACTATTATTTTTTTATTTGACCAGAGAGAGACAAAGAAAGAAAGGGAAGATGAGAAAGCAAGCCACCAGGTCCAGGACTCAAACTGTGGTCAGCATGTGGAAGTTCAGCACCTTAACTATCATGCCACCTGCAAGCCCCCATTTCTTATTAACTCTAATAATTTGTGGATTCTTTTGAATATTTTTGCCTATTTCTAGGCACTTTACTCCCCCAATCTCCAAATCTTGCCTTACTGTGCTAGCCAAAATCTGCAATACAGTGTTTAATAGAAGTAATCAGAGTAGAACTCCTTTATTTGTTCTTCGATTTCAGGGGAGCTTTCAGATGTTACTATTGAGCATACTAATTACTGTAGGATTTGTGTGCTGTTTATGATTTTAGTATTGCTATAGGACACTAATCGATCTAGTGTGGGGGGAAGGGGTCAGTGAGGGGGAGAGATAAGAAATCTCCCTCCCCAGGGGGATGCCTATGCCATAATCCCTTCGTTATCTCAAAATTTGGGACCCACACACACCCAGGATGTTTTTCAAGCCACCAGGTTGGGGACTCAAACCATGCTGTCAGCATGTGGGATCCAGCCACCTTAACCACCATATCACCAGCTAGCCCAAGATTTCTTTTATTCTGCTAGGAAGATTTATGGAGTTGAACTTTATCAAGTGCTTTCCTTGAATCTGTTACAATGACCTGATTATTTTTTCTTACCTTTTTAGTGTGCTGAAGCAATTGGTAGATTTTAGTGTTAAGCCTTCCCATCCACCCTTGTTTTCTCTCCTCATCCTTCACTTTACTAGAATAAACCCCTCCTGGTCACGTTATGTTAACTATTTATACAGACCTAGATTTTTTTTTATATTTAAATTTATTTATTTACATTCATTCACTATACATCATTACAGCATACAAAATGAGATTTCCCATCCAGAATACACTGTAAGTGGCTCAGTCAAGCACATCAACATACGTGTTATTGTCAACAAATAATTTTCCATTTCTTGTTTCCTGTACTTGATTCCCTATCTCTCACCCTCTGCCATGTCCCACTCTCCTCCCACACTGTCTCTGTTATCCATGGTTGCTTTCTATGCCTTTTCCCCCCATTTTATTGATTTGCTAATGAACTTAATTAATCTATTTCCAATAGCAAGTGCAGTTGATATATACATATCCATGAACCCAAGTCTGACTTCAGGCATAATCCTCACTGAGTAGAATGAACATACTATAAAATAGCACCTAGCTGGGACTATATAACTTACTGCAGTCATCAAATATGCATTTTTTTCCTGAAACTTTTTTAAATGAATTAATGTACATTCATCCCCTAATCATCATCACAGCATACAAAAAGTGGTTTCCCATCCAGAATAAACTACATAGTGGCTTAATCATGTATGTTATCAATAATTTTCCATTTCTAGTTTCACATATATATGTGTGTATATATTTTTTTTACCCCTATGACTGACCCTCTGCCCTTTCCCACCCTCTTCTCACACTATCTCTGGTGTCTACAGTTGTATTCCATTCCTTTCTCCCCCACTTTTTATTGATCATGCAATTTCTTAAATAATCTACTTTCAATAGCAAGTTCAGCTGGTAATTTCAAGAAAAGCAGTTTTGAATTGGTAAGGAAATTTGCTTAAAACTTAAAGCCTGGATGGACCCAGCAGTTAGCCTAATGGCTATATCATTGGTCTCCCATGTAGTTGATCATGGTTTGAGTCCTAGACCCAGTGGCTTAAACTCATGCTGGGTGTGTGTGTGTGTACGTGCCCAAGATCCCAAGAGGAGAATGGAGGAGAAGGGATTGTGGCATGGCCATCCCCCCCTGGGTGGTGATTTCTCACTTTTTATCTCTCTGTCTCTCTCTTTCTGGCTAGCACACACGCCCTACAGTGAAAAACCTCTCAAAAAAAAAAAGAAGAAAAAAGCCTGGAAACAGGTTAGTATTCTGTTCAAATAGTAGGTACATGAACCTATTGACAGCTCAAGACAGGACAAAAACTCTTAAAACCAGACAACAAAGCCAAGAAGAAAAGCAGCAATATTTTAGTCAAAAGTCACAGAATGCTCTTTCACCAGTTCAATCTCATGTACTTAATTTATCTTGTGTTGTGGTTCAGTCTTCCTGGATGAATTGTGGGATATAATATTCAACCCCAGGCTTGTCCCTACAATTAAGTTGGTCATTTTCTTCATTTTTGAACTCTTTTTTTTTCTGTGTGACTACATTTAAACATAGCACTCCCTTTAAAACGTTTTGGAGATCTGATCTGGTGCTGGTAAATTCTTTCAGATTTCATTTATCTGAGAATGTTCTTGTCTTTTCTTCCCATATGAAGGATAATCTTGCCAGATACAGTATTCTCAGTTGCAATTG